ACAGGTGAATAAAACCAGGAACCAAAGGAGCTTTCAACTAGGTAGTGAGGCTTAGTGGCTTAGTGAATTTAGATGCCTACAGGATTAAGCAAGACTGGAAATTGAATGGCTTTCAGGAACCTAAGTCCCAGCATAGGCAGGATTTCACCAACTGGATCCCACTCAGTTTTTATCATCTGATGTCTTAAATGACACGATTCAACCACCTATAGCAGCATATTGATTTCACTGTTTTTCCACCATCTGTATTTTCTTAACAGCATTCACCAGCTTTCGAGCTTAGAAACACCTATCAAAATGCCTAAATAAATTTTCTGCAGCTGCATTTAAAGACCAAAGTTTGACAATTAGGGCCTTCAGCACTCAGTTAGAATGTAGCCAGTATAATTACATGTCTTTTCCCATAATTGTGAGCCTCTGATTATTTCAAAGTCACATTCTGAATGGAGTCGCTGTGAAGCATTACTTCAGAGCTAGACAACAGCTTTCACCTTATTTGACACATTTTAGTGCTGTTGCAATAGCTGATAACATGCAAGAGAGGGAGGGAGGAGACAAGACGGAGAAAGAGATGCCAGGGAATGCACAGCAAGTGCTTGCACAAACCTTTCTTTCAGTTCAAGTATGTAAAGTGAGATAAATGGTCAAACTGCAGACATACTGTACGCAGCAGGAGCCAAAATCTGCTCCCCAGATTGGCAGCTCTAGAAGCCACCGGCACCGGATTCTCTCAGCAATTACCACCTCGGAAATGTCCTTCCATTGATTGTGATGGACGTAAACCAGCTGCGCCTCAATAGCGAGAGAACAGAGGGAGGAAGAGCCAGACAGCAGGACACAAACAGCACCGAACACTGGGACCAGCTGCAGCCCGCAGGTCACACTTCCATGTCAACAAAAGAATGTTATTTAATATTTGCCAAACACTGAAGTAATTCATCACAAGGTATAAGTGGATCTATAACGTCTGAGATTGCCCGTTGAAGATTAACTGGATGTATTGCATTTCCACTGCAGCAACTTAAATGGGAAACAAAATAGCCTGAACATCATAGGCAGGGTACTTATTCTCATCAGTAGCAGGGTTCCCATGCTGGTCAGCCTCAGCCATGCAGTTTAGGAAACCCTCATGCCAGAATATTTGTATGCATGAAGGATAGTGCTGAAGCAGGACAGTGCCAGCCTGTCAGGATTCAACTGATGTGAGTGCCTGATCAAACGTGCGCAGCTGCCTTCATCTAATCTAGAGCCTGTATAGGACAAAATTACTGTGAATCACCAACTGAGAGAGGAAGAGCTTGCTTATTGTTTAAACATCGAGATAAACTGGCAATGAACAGTTCGCTGCTGGAGGGTACCTCTAAAAATATCTGCTTTCCCCTGAAGACATTCTTCAGTTGGACACCAGGCTGCTTGCCTGTAGGAGGTGGCATGTCCAGAGAGGAAGGGGCACAGCAAGCTGCCTACACTCACATGCTGTACTTGCTTTGCACCACTTCAGGTTTTTACAACAGAACAAAAACACCCCTGTAAAATACACAGTACAGAGAGATGTCCTGCAAGAATTTTATGGAGAGAAGAAAGTGCCATCCATCCCAAAGTGGAGATGAAAACAAAAAGTCTGGAAAAGGCTTTTAATTTTTGGTTTATTGCTTTTTAGCACATCTAAATCTATAGCTGTTTCAATTGTATCTAAAAAGCTAATGAATATTAATACAGTTCAAAGAGTCATTTAGCAATGCTAATAACTGACATTTCTGTTCCCTGATCATTGTATCCCAGCTGGACTCCAGTAGTATTATGCATTACCTCAGCCCCAGAGCAATGCTCAGGTGGTGACTGTGGAGCAAGACAGGTCTGACAGGGCCTGCAGTACTGTCCCTTGTATTGTCCTTTTGGAACTGCCATTTCCTGCTGCAGGTATAAAGAGGCAGTAAGCTAGCAAGTTATGTACATTCCCACAGTTGTTATGCTATAAGTAACCCATAGAGTGCTTCTACAGTATAGTATTTCACAGGATTTCCTAAATAATTGCTTCAGGATCTATCCAAGACTGTTATGCAAAAGCTGTAAGTATGCCTCTAGAGAACTGAGTAATTATAAGAGGTTTTAAATAACACAAGTGTTTAAAATAATAAAACATATCAAGGTCACAGCATGATGAGAAAGTACAAAAAGCAGAGCTCTCCTTCTTGCCAGAGCACTCTTCCTGGCACTGGGCAGCCCTCATTACATGGGCTTTCCGGAGAATCTTTCTGCACATCATAAAGGGCAGCACTCAATTTCCTGTTTCCTTTGGGGTTTTTTGTATGGGTACCTTTGAAGCACACATTTGCTACTGCAGAAAACACGAGGCTCAAGCCTGTGCACAACCTCCTTTGCACGTTGAAGGTGTAGGTTTTTCTGCAGGACCAGCTCTTGTTCAAGGCTGGGCACCAGTGAGGTTTTGTACCCAGACATCTGCCTTCCAATTCCTCCTACTCCTTTTTGCCTCTCTGCCATCTTCCACTCCTACTAGCTTTCTGCAATACTTCTTTTCCACCTACTAACCCTCATCTCTTCTACACCAGCTCACTCGTTCCCCATTCTGCTGACCACCCATATGCTCCATTTGGGAACATAGCATCCATTTCCTTTATATGATTTTTCACAGATGTTAATTTTTTACTCAAACAGCCACAATGCAAATAGGATTTGAGAAGATCTTTAGATTCTCCAATACACTGGGGCTTTGTGATTAGAAGACAAGTTTTTCACAGACAAGTACCTCACAGAGCAATGAATTCCACAGGTCATCATTCACAAGTCTAACATTCAAAATCAACTAGTAGTACTACACAGCCCTTGTGGGTCCCAAGGCCCCACTTTATACCTTCATTCCACTCCTGTCATTCTTCCATGCCAGATTCCAGTGTTTTTACTTGAAGCACTAAAGATGCATGACCCCATTCTTCATGCATTTAATAACACTGATTAAATGCAGTACTTGTGTATCACAGCACCTGTACTTCTGTCAGACTGCAGGGGTGGGGTTCATGTGCCCTGCTGCTGGTGTCCAAACATTAGATGGACAAGTCTGAAAACAGCAGACAAAAAGAGGCAAGCCAGAAGACAACATTTAAGAAAAACCTCTCATCTGACCCCAAAACATTTCTTTCCACAATGTTCGTACAATGCATTTTAAAATGATCCATTTCACCTGAAAATCAAGTTCAGTGATGACAGTTTAAACAGCTTTTTCCTCTGTACAGATCCAAACAGCACTGCTGGAATAGTGTTGCCAGAACCGTTTGCTTAGAATGAAGAGGGAGAAGGACATGTCTGTTCTGGTTTTCCTTTTCATGCTTTCTTTTTTATTATTTTTAAGAGCTCCCTCATTTTTCCAAGAGCAGCACCAAGGCTTGTCAATACACATCTATCTGGAAGTGAAACGCTAACAAGCAAGAATTGATGGATATACAGCCAGCAAAATTTCAAGTTCCCTTCTGATAAAATTCCATCTTTCAACAGCTTTTTTAAAAGTTAACTTTGCACTGGAGTTAAGGAGAGGTGGCAAAGAACATTCCCTACTGTACTGTCAAACAAAAAACCAAATTCTAACCAACAATCTGGCTAATTTTAATTTGATTTCATGCAAAATTGAAAGAAGCATGCCTTTTTATCCCCTCAGAAGCAGTCAGCATTGTCCTGCATCTGTACTACCCCTTACACTGAGCAACACCCTTGCAGGGTAATGTAGCTAACAGAAACCAGTTTAGTCACAGCACAGACAAATTCTGCCCTAGAAGTCAAAGTTATTAGTTAATAAGTAAAGGATGAAGTAAGATGAAGGAACAAGCCTGACAAGGAACTTCCAAGTAGTGTTGTCAGGACAAGGACTCGTCTCAGCATGATCCCAGCAAGAGAAACAACTGGGGAGAGAGAAAACTCCTCATATAACACACAGGGATTTGCTACAGCCAGAGCTTTCAATGTGAAAGAGAGGAGTGGAGCAGAGCAGGACTTTGTCTTGTCTGGAGGAGACTTGAACTTCTCATCATAAATAACAGGAGGATGACTGACAACTGATGAAATCAATTTCCTTTATCACAGCTGGTGGTCTCACGATTAGCAAAGCTTAGGGCAATTACAGGACTTAACTCTCTTCCCTTCTAGGTTTTATGGGTTTGTTTAGGTATTACCTTACATTACTGTATTACTCCAGTGCATTGGGGACTGAAACTTTGCAGGCTCTGCACTGAAGTCTCTGTCCTGCAAGCTGATCTGCGCAGTCAAACTAAAGACATTTGCACACAAGTGAGAGGCTGCACTGGGCTTGGGCCTCACTGGGAAGAGGGTGTTCAGGCAGCCCTGGCTGCAGAGAGTGGTGGAGGAATCCGGCTGCTAACCAGGAAAGTGAGTGCCAGCTGAATGAAGGGATTAGCCCCTGAATTCACACAGGTGAGAGGAGATTTCTAGTTGACAAACAGAATGGAGAAGGGATTATTTTAACACCCATGGCTTCTGAGAGTGCAGCACAGCACCACACAAAACCAGCAGCAGTTCTGAAAGAGGTAAGTCTGTCATGTGCAAGCCTGTTACAGATTCAAGACTGTCATTCCTCCTCAAGGTTCCCATGCGAAAAAAAAAACACAAAACCCTGACTGATATCGATTTGTCTTTTTTAGAAAGACCAAAGGATAAACAGGTGATGTGTCATCATATGTAATTCATGTATTTCAACACACTGGAGAACATGTAACGTTATTTGTACTGTTTGCATTGGCGATGTGTACTTACAGCATCCAAATCCCCTCAGAGGCATACTCTGCTGTGCACACATGCCGGAGAAGGCAGTGCCTCCCCAGCCCTCCCCCCCCATGAAGGAGTTTCTAGTCAAAATAAACAGAACAGACAAAAGGTGTGAAAAGAAACCACAAATAGAGAGTAGAAACCTTGTTTGCAGCTCAGTAGCAGAGGACATGCTGATGCGAACTCCACCCGGACATATCCTTGCTCACCTCCACGAGGAGCTTTCCCCAGGTCTCAATGCACTAATGACGTTGGGAAGTTAGGTCTTTTATTCAAAACTGAACAACCCCCTTTCTTTCCTTCCTTTGAAACATAGGTTGGAAAGACTGTCCACTTCTATCCAATAACATGGTATTTAAGGCTCAGTTCTGGTTTGCAGAAAGCAGAAGAGAGCAGGAGGAAAAAGAAAGGAAGCTCTGTCCTGCCTTTAACACAGCTGTCAAAGCTGCACAAATGGAGACATGGGTGAGCCTAACTCATTATGCAGGTAATTCTGATGTGCCTACATTAGGTGTCCAAACACCTGCGTTTTCTCATGAATCCACACCACAGCCTTTCTGGTTTCTTGTCCCCACAAGAGAAAATAGGAATAGAAGACTTTGTGGTTCCACAAGGTGTTGTGAATACAAGTACATGAAAGATATCAAATGTGCAGACTCTGTATTAAGGGAATCATCCTGTCCTACAATCTTAGTAAAAAGCTCTCGACTGTTACTAATTTTAAGATGGGTTTTTTAAAAGATGCCAAGATGTGTATACAAACACGTTTTAGCAGAAAGCTCAGCATACACTGTCCTTTAAAAGCAACAGAACATTATCTGTGTTGAGTTTTTCAGACTTCCTCACAAAGCAATAACCTGCCTTTCACCACTGGCACCCCAGGGCTCTTACCCAGAGTCTCTGCCATGTGCCTAACTAATCAAAGTGTTGTGTTATGATTACCATAGCGACGGCAGTCCAACAGCTGTCTTGACATTTCATCTTCTGCTGCTTTTAAAATGCTTTCTTTTTGCCAAGGAAAACTTTTCTCAATTATTTAATTTTTTTTACTACACACTGTTCACTCCACTTACAAAATAAACATTTAGGAAAGAAAACACCAGCACAAATTGCTGTGGTTCTAACCACGTATTTTGCTAATTTCTTTTATTCTCCTTTCAAGCCATTTTAAGGTTTCTGGGGCTGTATGCTAAAAAGGTTACTCTTTATTTAACCATGCAGATGAGGCCTTTAGTGACATGGTTCAGAGGTGGACTTTGCAGTCCTGGGGTAACAGTTGGACTTGATGATCTTAAAGGTCTTTTCCAACCTAGCTGATTCTATGATTCTATTTTGCGGAGTTGTGAATACTCCGTCCCTGGCAGTGTTCAAGGCCAGGCTGGATGGGGCTTTGAGCAATCTGGTCTAACAGAAGGTGTCCCTGCCCATTCTATGATCCTCACCCTCCTAGACTCTCAAATTGAGCCATCCTGCATCACTCTCCCACCAATGCTTTCAGCTCTCAGATCTACCAATCACATGCACTTCCCATGGAGCTTTAAGACTGTCACCACTTCTGTCATTTGAGGAGGTGGGGAGGTAAGGCAGTAGAGAATAGGACTAAAAATGTAGTTTTGCTCCTGCCCTAAAAGAAGCACCTTGCTGGTGTGGAAGCCCCCAGGCAGGGTTTGGGGGATGCCAAAGAGGGCCGTGATCCCCCACTGGGTGACAGCTATTGAGTCTAGGACCTGATGTTACTTGAAGTTGCTACATTTCATACACAGACAGGGAAAAGTAAGCACTGTACAGATTTTACGTATATACAGATGAGGTCTGCTGACTGATAATTCATTTCACTGCTATTCATCTCGCAAATAACAAGCAGTTTTAATTAGCTAAGCTGGTCATCCCCTTTCTTTTCCAAAAGGAGGGAAGGGCATAGCTTACCTTTGAGCAGCCTGGGAGGTGAGAAAGCACCTTCTCTGCAACCTTTCATTGAGTCCCCAAGTTCCTTTCCCATGCTAGCCTGCACTCGAGCAGGTCTCAGGTAGTCTAGTGCCAGGAAGGTGTGGGCTGGAGACATGCTGGGGCATGGACATGTGAGCAGGACATATCAAAAAGAGATTGATTCAAAATCCCAGTAGGTTGGATCATCTGCAGCTTGGCCAAGGTAGGAGGTGCAGAGGGTATGTGTAGATGTGTGTGTGTGTACGTGTGTGTATGTGTGTGTTGAAGGGATTTTGACAATGGTAAGAATAAGGTTAAAACTCACAGCTGTTCAGGCTGAGAAGGATTAGGGTTTAAAATGAAAGTTTCAAACCACTTTTTAACAATTTTTTTTTAAATTATCAGATATGAGACAAATCAAAATTAACAAACCTTATCTGAAAAGCGTGTATGTTTAACATGAGGAAGAAGGAAAACACCTTCAGAAGCAGTCAGCTTCCTGTCTTATGCTTTTGAAATCTAGCTGATGGCTCACAGAACGGATCTCAGATATGTATATATATAATCCCCACAGCTAGAAGTCGTCTATTTTAGAAGACAAGTGTTTGCTCATATGAGGAACATTGTACTCAAGCATTCAGTCTTTGTGATCCATATGGATTTCATCAACTTGCTTGCCAGGAATTTAGGAAAAACAAACTTTATTCATGTTCCTTAGAGAAATAAATTCAGTTCGTGGTCTGTGCAAAAAGAAATACAGCTTGGGAACAAAAAAGCCCAGGGCATTCCTGGAACTGGAAGGTCAGAGAGCCAAAAGAGTTGATCCACTTAATATGTGAAATGAGTGACTTGCAATGGCATCTTCATCAGCACTGGAAATACACAGTTTCAACTTAGAAAGTGATTTTATGTCACATCCCATAAAGGGCCCCCAAACGTGAACTGCTTTCACAAGCCCCCCTGGAACCAGGCACTCCTGTTGCTCAGAGAACAGCTTTAACTCAAAATCCCAGTTTCATTTTCTGCTCTTCCCTTGAACTGAGAATCACTGAAGTCCTCTTTTCTGGATGAACCCTCAGTTGTGACAGAGGTTGGATTGCAACATGTGCTTTCTGCATTGAGCAGGGGATGGAAAAGGGAACTGCTATCCAAGCACAGACCTAAACTCCCATCTTCTCAATCCCCTGCCTGGCCTCCGGGTCACCACACAATCACCACCTCCCTTCTCCCCTGGTCTCCCCTGGGTTTCAGGACTCCTGCTGTCTTCACGTGGACATGGACAAACTTCAAGGGAAGCTTCTAGGATCTCCTACCTCCCTGGCCTTTCTCCAGAGTACCACACAAGGGCACTTTCTGAAGACATGTAAACATTACTGAGTTTCCCCAGCACCTGGGTTTTCTACTACTTAGGCTGGAATTATTTGGGAAAGGTTGCCCCCCTTTTACATTTCAGTGAATGTAAAATCTAAGAGCTTACAACTGTGATGATATAAGAAGAGGAAGGCTAACAAATGCGAAGAGAGACAGCAGCAGGGAGCTGTCAAGACCAGTCAGTGTATGAATTCACTTCCTGTCTGTCCTTTCATGACACAGATCAACCCCAGCAGGTGCAAATCAATCATAGAATCGTAGAACAATTTGTATTGGAAAGAACCTTAATATCGTCTCTCCTGCCATTGGCAGGGATACCTTCCACTAGACCATGTTGCCCAAGGCTCTGTTCAACCTGGCCTTGAACACTGCCAGGGATGAGACATTCACAACTTCCTTGGGCAACCCATTCCAGTGCCTAACCACCCTCATGGTGACAAATTTCTTCCTTATATCTAACCTAAATGTCCCTTGTTTAAGTTTGAACTTATTACCCCTTGTCCTACCAGTACAGTAAATGGCTTGCTCTTCCAAACATAGGCACCTACTGCTACCTAAACCACATTCAAGATGTCTATGGGCTATTCTAAAACTTTTCTGTGTCTTTGAGGAGTTTAGTCCCAGCAAAATCTTTTTTTTTTTTTTTCCCCTGAGCTCATTGACTCTTCTGTTTCTTGCAATATTTCTAGACAGAAAAAAAAGAAAATTCCTCTGATTTAATGTTACATATTCAGATGGAGAGAAAAAACCTGCTTCAGATGAGAACTTTTTCCACTGTCTTAGACCTCCAACTTAAAGATGGACTGTATAATCCACTAGAAGTACATGCACATGCAGACTAGCCTTTTGGAGATAAAGTCAGATGAAACAAGACCTATCCCAAATTACTCTGTATCATGCCATGCTATATCAGTTTGTGTAGGTTTGGTTTTCAAAGGCTGATGAAAACCTGTGGACCTTAATATAATTCATCAGTACTTTGTTTTCTGTATCAGAAAGTACAGGGTTTGTGGAAGATGTGTTAACATACATTGCTACTGCAACCAGAGGCATTTATGTACAACAACACTTACTTTAAAAGTACAGGCTAATACATAGTCTGATTCACTCTTAAATCAAATAATTATGGTTGTGACATTATAAAGTGGTATCTCATCACCTTTTAAAGGAAGCCGTATTAGTGCTCTGCAAGAGGTTTGTTTCATTAAATTAATGTTGCCTTAGAGCCCTTCAGTAAGTCAAATGGCATTATTCACTCATATAGCATTCCTGGCAAGCCTCAAAAAAACATTTTCAATACTTAGGAACTACAAAACAGCTAGACAGTGATCTGAAGTTTAAAACAGGAGTAGGCATCTTACTTAAAACTGCAGCAGAGGGGAAAAATAAAGTAAAAGGTAATTATGTTCTTAAGCCTAAGGGCACCTACTTTTAGTAAATATTTCTACGTACCCCTGCGTCCCGGCCAGGACAGAATAATTTAACCTTTTCCTCATTGTGAAAAATAACTTGTGAAACCACAACTATTCTTCAAATAATGCTAAGAAAAACATCTATAGCTAATCTGTTCTTAGAAAAAATGAACCTGATGTATCTTAAGGGTGCATGTGGGACCTGCACAGCCTGGTCCTGGCAGGGAGGGCAGGACTGTCCCCTTCTGTACCTGGCTAGAAAGACCCAGCAGTGTTTCCTCCATCCCCTTCTCTGAGCAGCACAAAAGGACCAAATCACATGAGCAAATCTATGGTTACTCCTGTTTAGCATTCAGGTGATGACACTTGGCTTGCCTTTCTCATGGCAACAACCACCCCCAAATGCATTCAACTCCTTGGCTGTCCATCTCTCAGTGAGTCTTCAGGTGGCTCTTGGGTACATGCTAAGAAAGCAAAAAAGCCTGTGTGTCATGGGTTAATTTTTTATGCCAATGATGACTGTAGCTGTTTACTTTTTAAACAAATGCCTGCTATACACAGCAACTGCCTGAGCGTGCAGCCAAAAGCAGACTACAGGAAATCTCTTTGACAGCCAGGAAGGCAGAATTGTTAACATGGGTCTGCATTACAGTAAAAACAAAAAAAAAAAATGAAAAGAAAAAAAACTTAAAAAAAAAAAAGTTGTGAGATCT